TTCTTCTCCAAGCACTTCTATGCATGCTTTACAAAAGGTTTTGAGATTGCTTTTATTAACTTTTTCTTCTGTTTTAATAATATATTTAGTTAATATAGAGGGAAACAGCATATTTGAAATTATTTAAAAAAAAATCTTTTGTGGCTTAACGCAGACTGGCGGACATTGTCCTGGACAATTTAAAAATGGTGGACACGTCCCGATTGACAATGGTAATACAGGACATGTGATCAGATAAAAATCCTGGACATATTCCGGAATGTCTGTGTCTGCTCAATTTTGGCGGACAGTATTCGGTGTACAACACTGCTCCTAACAATCAAAGCAAATAGCCATTTTACTATTGTGAATATTAGGTCTGTGATAACTAATCAGAATCTCTTTTCCTGTGTAATTCTCATGGTATGTCTTAGTTACTCCTTGCCTAAATGATCCGAAAAGACAGAATATATGATAATAACTACTATATTTTTCATTAATTAATATTCGCAAAGTTGATCTTACTCGATCAACCCATTGTTGTGAAGTTTTATGCAATCTAATTATGGATAAATTATCAAATTTTTTTTCTGCCTCAAGTGTCTTTTCAAAGTCAAAAGGAGTGCTATAGCTGATATATGTATAATAATTTTTAATATACTTCATTTTATAACCAGGACGAAGATTAGTGGATTTAGGTACAGATTTATTAAAAATCTTGTCTAAGATAATATAAATACATTTATTAGGCCTTGGTCTGTTAATATGAATTCCTGACATATTTAATGATTTATAGCGTTTTTAGCGAATTCTAGCAATTCTTTAGCAACTTATACTAGATAATATTATCATTCAAATTTATACAGATTTATTGGTTAGCAATTAGTTGATTTGTAGCTGATTTGTGAGACTACATACTAGTAAATCCTTTATTCAATTATGCCCTTGTTCAGGGTGAAATATTGGTATGATTTGGCTTAAATTGAATCTGATCACCATAGATGGCTAAATTATCTTCAGCTAAAATTTATATCACATATGATCTTCCTAGTTCCCTGTACGAAGCGCCTATGGTCCAGTTTCTCGATAGTTCTAGGAATGTTCCAGGCACTGACGAGTTTCTATAAATCACGAGATAGTCAGCCAATCAGATTTTCTGATGGTAAAATCTGAACACATAATCCAGGCTCGTCAAAATTACGCAGAAACATTCGGTTAAATTTATCTCCCAAAATCATGATGAACTGCTTGTCTAAGGTTGGAAAAATTGCGCAGAAGCGGGATCAGCATCTGGTTAATTTTCTTCACCGAAATCTACATTTAAGCATGGGATCAGCATCAGGTTAAATTTATCTCCCAAAACAGTCGAAGGTAATGGTAGAGTCTGAACACAGTGTTCAGGCTCAGATTTCAGGATTAGATTATCATATCTGATGCAAAATATTAACATGGATTAGATATGCAAAACTTTTTTAGCAATAAAATGGAATCAAGCTTACCATAATAAAATTTATAGTATTGACGGCAGATTTGAGTTTTTTAATATGTTGAAGTCTTGTTGGAAGCTCAAATTTCGGTCCAGGAAATACCACATAGAATCCCTCAACCAAATCTTCAATTAACATTTGGCCACTTGTGCCGCATACTTGCACAAAGGGCACTTTAATATTTTTACTCTGTTCATCAGTGATGTTGAGATTTAGTAATCCATTCATAATAGACTGGTTAACCCTGGCAGACCTGCAACAGCCTTATGAGAAATTACTTTCGATGCAAATTCTCACTCCCCTATGTCTACTTCAGAAATTGATAGAAAGCGCAAGTCACATTTTCTGTCCTTGTTGTAGTCATTACTTTTACTTAGTGGGCAGAAGGATTCCCCCCTTAAACTATGAATATGTTTATGAGTATAATAAATAGTTTGATCACGAAGTTAACGAATATTCCATGCCTTTTACTAACCATTTTTGATGTATTTCAAAACCAGAATTCAGTCCTTCAATAATATACCCGAAAGCCTTCATGATGACATCAAGTTCTGTGTGCGTATCTCCTGCATAATCCAGGATATCGACTTTGTTCTTGCTTCTATAAATACTGTACATATCAGATAATAAAGTTATAATCGCAAAGATAAAAATAAATTCAACGATAAGATAATTTACTTACAACTCGGCATATATCTTACTTATTTTGTGCATATAGCCGTTTTCTTCAGAATCAACATAGTTTTCAATGCAAAGCTTGTATGCACCGTTCACATCTCCCTTAAGTACCATCTGTAGAAAAACAATGAATTAATACGCCTTTATGTTAAGATAAATTCAGAACAAGATACGTACACTTTCAACTTTCGATATGAATGAATTTTCTTTTGCCAGCAACTGAGGAACCTTTAACAGATCAGCATAACTTTTCGCCATGAATTTTGTATCCTCAGCAGAAAACTATTCACTTATGACAGATAAATCGATTATATTTGATGCATCATATCTTAATATGGCTTTTTCGTATATGGTAAGTTTTTTCTTATTCTTGACTTTTTTTGTGCTGGCAGATACATTTTCATCGAAAATTTCGCCTACATATAGCCCTGAAGGCAGTTTCCATTTTTTTGAATTGTTGATATCTGTATCTTTCAGATCAGGAATACCTTTATCTTCTTCTTGAGAGGGACGGTCATCATCATCTGACTGCATTAAATCAAGGGGAGTTACCTTTTCAACTTTTGTACCATCAGGTAATATGATCCCCACCTTTCTTCCTGGTGATATTTTCTTTTTTTGTGGCTCCTAAAAACTTTCTTCTTCAAAACGAGTTCGCTTACATCCTAACAATGGTTAATGTTAGGGTTAGACATTAATATTTTTATTAATCACAGGAAAGAATTATATATAATCTTAAATCTATTACCAAAACGTAGTTGTTCTTAAGTGGCATTAAAAATCGTATCACTGAAATCGTTATGTAATTCTGCTACTCGAGAAACCATCTTTTTAGCATTAAGATTTACAGCTGTCTTCAATGTTTTCATAAAAGATGGACTTTTTTTCCAGAGCTCGGCAACTTGAACAGATTACTTGAGCATCCTACAAATTAAGATATCTTAAATTAGAATATAATTCCGCTATTATAAATAGTGCTCTATCACCAAAACCTATACTATTTTTAATATCTAAATAAATTATATTCAAAAATATATTCAGAAATATATTTGCAATACTTTTTATTTTTTTATCTGAAAATGAATAGTAATAAGTAATTTCTAGATGGATTTTATTCGAAACATGAGCTGGCTTATTCTTTTCACACATTATTTTTACAAATATTTCCCATTGAGTATGATTTCTCTCACTATAAGTATATCTATCTGAGAAATAGTGCCCATATATTAGGTCATTCCCCTTTAGTTCGATATATTTTTATAAGCTAAGAATAGCACATCTATACCAAAATTGGTTAACAAATAGAGCGGGATAAAAAGATTTATCTATCTCTAAAAAATGTAAAATCTGTTCTAATAGTTCTGGTAAATAAAAGATGCTTGATTGTGCTATAAATATTCTGTTTATATATTATATCTTTAAACGAAAAAATAGCAAAGCACCTTTAGGGAAAATTACGCATATTGAAAATAAATCTAGCAAAATTTGCTGAAGGCGCGTTATTAGTAGCTATACATATTGATAATTTTAGAAATTTCATCATTTTTCACAGACTTTGATTTCAGCTCTAGGTTGTGATCAGATTTAGAGCTAGACTCCTCTGATTCTATATCACCTATAGCATAATTATCACCTGCATTAAGGTGATCAGATTCTTGCCTTAATGCAATTCTTGAAAGCAGTTTAAGATGCTGGGAAGTTAAGTTCTTATCACTATAGATTCTGAAAGTGTGTTTACTTCCATAATCTTTTAATTTTTCAGATATAGTTCTATAAGACTCTTGTTTTAAAAATTTATTAAATGACCAAGTATTACGTGTTTCACTTTCAGTATAAACAGGATCATACAACTTTTCTGCCTTAATTGCATTCTGGATCCAGGTGAGTAATTCTCTGACGCATTTTACAGTAGCGATCATAAGTATCTGACTGTCTGAGATCATCCAAAATTATTATATAACTACCCCTTAAATTTTCCAGAAATATAATATAACACAATACATGATCACC